TTACCTCGTTTTTTGTTTTAAAGTACAGATTAAACATAAATCCCACTTCTTTTCTTGAGAGAGGCCATTTTTATAGTCCTTTAACGTAGCTTAGATCCGCATTTTAAATTCCACCTCTTTTCTCGAGCCAATACCATTATTATAGATTTATAGTCCATAATCTGTACTTGTGCGTATGAGTTCAGTATGTAGTTGCGTGGATCAAGAATCCAAGCATAAGGTTCTTGTTTTCTTGTAATTTGAAGTGATGGGCAATTTGTAGTTTTCCAATCCCTTCAGATTTTGTCTAAGCAAAAATCTGCTTCGAATCTTTCGAATCACGGCTAGAATACGACTAGACGGTATAATTACAGGATTTTTAAATCTTTCTTTTCTACTTCTTTACTAAAAATAACCTTTCATGTGTAGTTTAGTTTACTGAATAAGTTGAACATTTATTAAGTTCGTTATTTACGATTTTCTTTGTCGTCGTTGTCGCGGAGGTTGGGTTGTCTCGCCTGGTTTTTCAGGTAGCATTTAGCGCTCAAACTTAAAATGCTGTTAATTTGTTTGGAAAGGGGTGGCGCAACGTACTGAATTTCCTAGCTAGTAGAGCCATCTACTCTCTCTCTACGCGAGAAATTCACTTACTGTGAACAAACTGCATGGGAAAAGACTTGCTCAGCCTGGTGTGGGCAGCGCATCGAATACGGCGCCACAGGTTGAGTCTCCATTTTTCTAAACAAAAGTGGATACTGGTGTAGGAAAGGAATAGAAGAAGAGCTACTGAAGCTAAAGCGGGACATTTTGAAGTTGAATGAATCCCTCGGTACCACATTCCAATCTCTCAGAGTTTGACTTGTGGCCTATCCTCAACCCACGTAGCTTTCAAGAACTAGCTTTCCCGCTATAAAGTCCATAACTCGAACAAGACAGCTGCTATAGGAGAAAAAGCAAATCTTAGACGAGCCCTCTCGTTTTATTGACATTGAAAATATGTTGAGCGATTTGATCCTCCAAAGAAAGGCAAGAAGAATTGATGGGCGCAAGCATGGAGCATGTTTCCATCATCTCTTCCGTGTCTTAATGTTGGCCGATGGCATTTTCAATCCATGCAGCAATTTGGTGTTTTAGATCAAAAAAATTGGTGTGAAAATCACCCTTCGGCCCAACTTTAAATTATCACACCAAAATAGGCGTAACACTGTTCATTTGTTGCAATTTTAACAGCTTTTATATTCTTTTGCCCTTCATTTTTGTACTATAATAAATTTTAATTTCTATTAAATGATTTTATTATTTAATGTTTTAACTTTGCATGTATTTATTTTATTTTAATTTGATTATTATTTTTTCTAATATTTAAAATAAATTGTAATCAAGTAATAAATAATAGCTATTGAATACATTGAAGTATAATTGCTCACCAAAATTCAAATGTTACAAATTTGATAAACTTTCAAGTGTAATGTTTTTCTAAATTATTAATAAATGTAATGTTAGTTAATTAAATGTAACCTTTTCAATTAGGCAATGTTGAAAATTTAAAAAAATGAAAATAAAGGAACACTATTTCATGTACACGCAAGTTGGATATGACAAAATGAGGTGGTGCCAAAGTTGTACAATTTTGGAGTAAAGTTGCACCATTTTGGTGCCATATGTTGGTGATGGTCTTGTTATTTTCTAGCCTAAATTGGGTTGCCTTAGCTAGATAATAGAGATTGTATTTATTCACACCACATTTTTAAAAATATACATTACATTTTAATTACATTAGAGGTCGTTAAACATTTATTCATTACAACGCTTATTTTCTCAACTTTTTAATTAATCACATTCTTATTTTTTTAACATTTCATTTATCAGAAAATCTTTCATTAATCAAGATTTTTGTCCGAAAGTATTGTTAACGTGCTTTAAAACGTGGGTCAAATGCTATCTCATTTTTGCATCATTACTTGTTTTGCTTATCACAAAATACAATAGGCGAATGTCTTTCTTTACTGGATCTTAAAGAAAATTTTGGAGAGACGTCATATTCATACAAAATTTATGTTAATTTTAGAATAAGAATGCGATAAAAAAGAGAGACATTATTTGTTTCTCTTTCTTTGTTTCAACCACACATTTATCAAATAAAATAATATTACACATAAATTCAAAACTTTTCTACTACACATTCTTCCATCAATCACTAATTCAAAAATTCTCAACACCCCAAAATGGCTAATATTTTTTATTCATGTGTATGTATTGTCAATATAATATGGTTATTCGAAAGAGGATAATATGGACGGGGTTTAATGTTGTCGAACAAGTCTCTTGGATTTTTTGAGTTGATGTCCTAAAACCCAATTATATTGAGGATAATATGGACGGGGCGGTAGATTTTTTTTTTAAGTTTTATTTTTATTGTTACTATTTGTAAATATTTCAAGTTACCATTTTAATTTTTACCCATTTTATTTTGATCAAAATTTGTCAGTCTATTTTTCTTGGTCAACTAACGGTCAAATTCATCCATTTGGTCCTTAGCTGCTAATTTCTCAATGGTTTAGGAGTTACGTTGGTATAAATTGAAGGTTATGGTAAAGTCTACTAAAAATTATAAGGGCTAACAACGGTGCTTTTTATCCTGCCAGCGAGGGCTAATCACGGAATATGAACATCCAATTTAACTACAAGTGGTTTTTGGTTTCCTCTATTTCATGTCATTTTACTTATTCAACCACTTGCTTGAGTTTAGCAACATTCCCCATAAGCACATATTTCAGGAAGTTACTTTGATTTTTTTTAATTACTTATTTGGAACTTGTTTGCATTTATTTGAAAAAAATTAGGATAATAATTGTCATTAATTTATAATTTTTTATTGTTTAAATATGAAGTTATATGCTTCATTTTAATCGTTTTATTGAGAAAATAAACAACTGAGACTTTTTCAGTTAATTTCAATAGGTAAGGGGGATTTTGTGTAGCATTTCTAATNTGTAGTCGAAATCACTCTTATTCAAAAATCAGAATTAACGTAGAGGATGCACAGTATTTATACTGGGAGCTGACCAATGTAAAGGTGACACCTGGACTAACCAACTAACTAATACAATAAAGGAAAATACACGTGAATGAAAAGAGGGAAAAGAAAAGATAGAAGAAAAAGAAAATAATATTGATATAAATTCTTCAATTATTTGTTTCTCTTTCTTTGTTTCAACCACACATTTATCAAATAAAATAATATTACACATAAATTCAAAACTTTTCTACTACACATTCTTCCATCAATCACTAATTCAAAAATTCTCAACACCCCAAAATGGCTAATATTTTTTATTCATGTGTATGTATTGTCAATATAATATGGTTATTCGAAAGAGGATAATATGGACGGGGTTTAATGTTGTTGTCGAACAAGTCTCTTGGATTTTTTGAGTTGATGTCCTAAAACCCAATTATATTGAGGATAATATGGACGGGGTGGTAGATTTTTTTTTTTTAGTTTTTTTTTAATTGTTACTATTTGTAAATATTTCAAGTTACCATTTTAATTTTTACCCATTTTATTTTGATCAAAATTTGTCGGTCTATTTTTCTTGGTCAACTAACGGTCAAATTCATCCATTTGGACCTTAGCTGCTAATTTCTCAATGGTTTAGGAGTTACGTTGGCATAAATTGAAGGTTATGGTAAAGTCTACTAAAAATTATAAAGGCTAACAACGGTGCTTTTTATCCTGCCAGCGAGGGCTAATCACGGAATACGAACATCCAATTTAACTACAAGCGGTTTTTGGTTTCCTCTATTTCATGTCATTTTACTTATTCAACCACTTGCTTGAGTTTAACAACATTCCCCATAAGCACATATTTCAGGATGTTACTTTGATTTTTTTTAATTACTTATTTGGAACTTGTTTGCATTTATTTGAAAAAAATTAGGATAATAATTGTCATTAATTTATAATTTTTTATTGTTTAAATATGAAGTTATATCCTTCATTTTAATCGTTTTATTGAGAAAATAAACAACTGAGACTTTTTCAGTTAATTTCAATAGGTAAGGGGGATTTTGTGTAGCATTTCTAATCGTGGGCGTTTGTCCTTTTTTTCTCTCTCTCTCTATTTATTAGGATTTAACGACAGGACAGACGAAATATGACAACATGGGGTATTTCGTAAGAGGATACATATTTTGTTAACTTCAGCCGGAGGCAACAAGGGAAAAACACAAGAAAAAATTAGAGTGATTAAAATGAAACTTGGGTCAAAGTTGGATGATTTTCTCCGCAAAAGCACCGAAGTTGTGATCAATAATTTGATAAATTGAGACCTAAATATAATTTGTGATCAATTAATTTGATGTTTTGTGACCATGGAATAAGTTGTGACTCATAAAATTTGTGATTCGTGATCAATAAATAATATGTGACTATTAATTTGATAAATTTGTGACCGTAAAATAATTTATGATTCATAAAATTTTTGATTTGTGACTCAAAAAATAAATTGTAACCTATAAATTTGTTGTTTGGAACTGTGACGTCTGTAATTGTGATTAATATTTAATTGTGATAATAAATTATATAATATTGTGACCCTAATATATTTAATTAATACAATATATTTAATAAATAAATAAATTATAAATTCATATCTGATTTTTGAAAAAGGAAAGCTTTACATATCTTAGATTTGAAATACACCATACCAACGTCTCAGTAAGGAAATTTTCCTTTTTAGGATTAGGGCTACGGGCTACCCGACTGAATTACTCCGGCTGCTATTTAATTCCTGTTGATTTGCAACAAATTGAGGGAGAAAAACTTGGTAATTTATTGCGCAATTCGATTTCCTTGTCCTGCTGTTATACGAAACAACAAGAAGGTGCTCTACCTCTTCCTTCTCTGCTATATATTGTTTTTTTCGTTGCCTTGATTTCCTAATAATATGTTTGATTTGTATATTTTTATTTGGTGAATTTTAATCTTTGGAGAAACCCTTTTCTTCCATCTCACAGTGATGTCTTCTTCTCACGGAACATATTATTACGAATACCAACTGCAGCAGGACAATGCCATTCTTCCACATGATCATCCCGCTAGCATTCGTGGTGTATCTGTTTTTTTTAAAGTCAAAATTAATTACATACTGAAAAAAAGACCAGATGATGGTGAGGAAATACTAGATTCAATCTGCAGGAACTTCTATGCGCCTTGGTGTTTTGTCACCGATCCACGAAATAATTTGGATAGGTGGTTTATGTATCATGGGTTGCGTTTTGATGATGTAAGGGAAGGATTGCATCACCAAATTACAGATTTTGGCAATCAAATGAAGGCTGATCCATCGAATGCTGGGCGCAGATCATTCCCAGTGCTCGTGTGCATTCAAGTTTACACAATACAACAAGAGGATGAAACTATTGATGCTGCCAAGGACAGGGCCATTGTAGTGGAAAGGTTTGGGGGGCTAAATTATGAACGGAATCTTCTAATGCGGCCTACAGCTACATCTGTGTCTGCAAAGCCAGCATATTTGGAGAAGGTTAAAGTAAAGGTTGATGATCTGGAACAAAGAGAGTGTTGTATTTGTTTGAACAAGCCTTGTGTTGGAGAAGAAATATCGATTCTACCATGCTTACATGCTTATCATTCCAAATGTATATCTGCCTGGCTAATGAAGAGCAAGCTATGTCCATTGTGTCGCAAACATGTGCACTGGAATTAATGTTTACACTTCTCGTCTAGAGTACATCTATTAAACTTAATTCAGTTTTAAAAGTGTTCATGATTGTGTATTCAGTTTTAAAAGGAGTGTTGCAGTTTGTGCATACATCGAGTGTTGCAGTTTGTGCATACATCTTTCTCTATAATTTCAGCGCAGACACAAGTTAACTAGTGAAAAACTTTTGAAACACAAACAGTATTAAATTTATCAAAAAATTTAGAATTATTTTTGTAAGGGTTTTCATCCTTTGAAAATGTCGTAGAATTACATCAGTTTCAACTTTATTAGATAAATGAAGATTTTCCTTTAAAATAATTTTTATATGATTTTCTACTTGTCAAATGATGCAAACTCTCTTTAAACATAACTACACAAGTTCTTTAAAAAGGTAATGCTCAAATTCTTATCAAACAACTTGTGCTAAAATTAAGGATGTCTATCAAACTGAGCCCATGTTCGATTTAGCTAAAAATTGATGAAATATATAATAGAAATGAGAATCAGGAAAAATGAATTGTTAAAAATAAGACAAAGTCTACAAATGTTAGGCCTCACACTTACGAGGCAAATCATATGACAGCCAGCTAGGCAAAAAGCAAAGCAAGAGATCATGCAAGTCAGGACTCATCTGCATTATTCCCTTTGGCTTTCAAAATATCGAAAATTTGGCGATCTTCTATACGAGCGGTTGAAACTGACTCGTGACGTGCAAACACGAGACGCCTCATGGGTGGAGGCATTAAACACATGTTTTAGAACAGCATTCTTGAGGGCATCCCCGTGTGAGAAGATTGCTCGAATTCCTCCTCGCATTTTGCCAAGAATATCAGATGGTAAAGAAACCAGCTCTTCAACAAATGATTGATATACACCATCAAATGAAAAAAATTCGTCTAAGTGATTTTAAGACCAACGGATTTTACGACCCAAAATTTGTTAACTGAAAGAAATCATTGTCCATAACATTCAATCATCACTTTCTTGAACCCATACATAAGGATCAAACACTTTACACTTCCATATCAAAAATCTGCTGTTGATATGCCGAAATGCAAATAAATTTCAAGATATATAGACCCTTTGTCCCTTCACAACCAAGTCACATAAACAAATATACACACATTAATATTGAACAAAAAAAGCTTACCTGGTTTATTTTCTTGAATTTCCTTCTACTTCCTGGATAGTAAATGAAAGGTAGAAAGGTGACAAGAAAAAAAAGATTTTCTTCCTCTCAGGTGGCCAACTTTATCAACTTGAAATTTATCGATCAAATTTGGACAACCTAGAGTCAATTTAAAGTTCGTAGAGAATTTAAAATGCATCACATACCATATTCACGAGTTGAACAAATGCACTATGCATACAACAATTTTGAAATACCATTTTTAGCATCTTAATAATACAAGATTCATTAACTGCCAACAAAAGGTCGGAAGGCCATTCAAAAGTGAGGCGTGATAGCTCTTAATTTGTGTATATGAATCTAAGAGTGCTTAAATCGATAATATATTTGAAACTGGTTTGCTGTATTCAAATTTCAATTTAAGTAGAAAATTATCATTATTCTTCCATTCATACGTACCCCATTAGAAATGTTGAGTTGGGTAAACAGAACACAAATTCCATCATTGCTAATGTTAGAATTTCGGTGTGACCTGAATTCTATTGAGAGTTGGTGGTATGACTTGAAGAAGTTTTGAGGGAGTCCAAGACGGATAATGAGAAGTTTTCATGATTTTAGCAATAATATATTCTCCTAGTGTGTTAAGAGATTTTTTGATTATATATAAGTGTTGTACAACAAATATTGAGATTGACTAATTGCCCAACTTATTAGTTTGGTCCAGGGATCCAACATATTGTAATCCTTACTTTTGATATATTGAATTTCTTCGCCTCTGTCCGTGGTTTTTCCTGCATTAAATCATTACGTAAATCTCGTGTTCTTGTGATTGTTATTTTCTTCTTACCTATTATCCCGTCTTTAATATTCATAAAAATTGATTCAATTTCTAACAGTCAGACTAAAGAACAAATTAGCGACTCATGACAGGTGTAATCGCATTTTTGTTGTAAGAATCCAATTAATTTTCGCAACATCAAACGTCTGTTAGGTCTTGCAAATATCCAATAAAAAAATTGCTTATTTTCAGTTCATCTATTCATTCAAACAGTGATCCTCAGTTGAGCACAAACACATAGTTAATGTACCCAACATACTTGATTAGTTGGATCAAACAAAAACATAAACTTGCTGCTACCCAAGAGATGTCCCCAAGTTAAAGCATAAACCCATTGTAGTCGCCCAATATTTACACATTCCCATCCTCAACCTATTAATTTGCACATCTTGGATTTTTTATGATGGTTTTTATTCAAGAGGGTTGAAAAAGACTTTCTTGCCTCTCGTATTTATAAATAAGCAAAATAAATAAAAAATACAAGAGTTTGGCAAAATATTTGCTTGTCATTTCAATGCACATTGGTTGAATATTGAATAAATATGGAGACAAGATGTGAAAATTGAGTGAAAGGTAATGACAAATATGCGATGAGAAAAGGTTCATCATGAGTGCCAAAATGAGCAAAGGTTGGAAGACTTTCATCGCAATTAAAATGTAGTATAGATAATAAAAATTTTAGTACAAATATAATTATTGATGTAGATCGAATCAATAAACACACTAACAAACGGGATGCACCTTAAGAAAACAAACGCTTTCTTATTTCATGAACGACCAAAAACCCTACAAGACGTTTTAGAGTCTTAAATACTAAATGAACAAATAACCTACTGGGCCAGCAGTCCTTTAAGGGGTTGAGCTACAAAGCAAAATAAATAAATATTGAAAATAATGAACTAAGAAACATTAAGTCCCATTTTGACTTAATAAACGAATTCAAATGTCCAAAATTCCTCATATGTCACAGCAAAGCGGTGAGTTCAATGAGAATCGTCGCGAGCTTTCCGGAATTGGGTCATGGGCCCAAAACAGACACTATATACAAAAGTTACGCTATTTTCTTCGAAAGCTAACGATTCAAACGTTCCAAATACGCAAGTGCATGTACCTCCACACTAACCTCATCAATTATCCTAAGTAATATTGGGATTTTTAAGATTAGAACACGCTGACAAGAACAATTGGACGAAGAACGAGATGAAATACCCATAAAAAGTCATGTAGAGGGTCTATTGAAGTACCCATAAAACCAATATCATTTATATTTGTTATGCTTACTATAAAGAGTAATACTACATGTACATAATTTTTTTTACCTAATCTTTTACCTACACTAACAGAGGGTGTGGCGACCACATTTTGGGAGTTTTTCATTCACGTGGGCCACGCGCACATGTGAGAGGGTGTAACATTTTTTGTAATGAAAATTATGTACAAATAGTTTTATCCTACTATAAAATCCCAGCTCAAGAATAAGTGAAGCTTATGAACTCGAGATTAATGAGTGGGCGTGAGTCGGACAATAAGGGTCCGTTTGATAGGCAAAGGTTGAAAGTAATTCCAATTCCATGTTATTTGGAAAATAAAAACTCACCAAATCCATAGAAATTCGTTTTCCATGAAAATAAAGAAAATGCAGTTTAAAGTGATTGTACCTTGAAATTCGGTTTCAATTTCCACGTGCAATCAAACGGCCAAAGTGGAATTCGTTTTCCTTGGACGTGACATTTTCCATGGAATTCGTTGCAATCAAACAATACCTAATATCTTTCTTCTAATTGGACGAATAAAAAACAAAGGCATAGGGCACGTGCTGCAATTAGGGTAAAACTCAAGAATTCAAGAGTGTAACAACAATGCTTAGTATTTTCCCAAATTTAATCCTAACAGAATCTTAATAAATTTATTAATTTCGCTCCCCTCTCTCTCTCTCTCTCTCTTCCAAATTTCAAAATTTTGGAAATATTTAGAAGAAATTCTTCAAATTCTTGAAATGGATACATTCCATAATCTGAAAACATTCCCAGGAAATGCATACTGAGGTCCATTTCACGAGAACATTCGTCAAATTCTTGGCAAATATGGCCAACTCCCGAATTACAAGATTGGACACAGACCAGTTTGATGTATTACCATAAGGATCTAAAATTCAAAAGTTCTTCCATTCTACATCATTGAAAAAGATGTCAATGATTTTTGTAATCACTGTTCTTATGCAGGTACAAGAACGTTTTTCAAAATCTAATTATTTTTTGAATCTTGATTTTTATTGGGATTTTAATTTATTGTATTCTTATGAGACTGTGGACATCTTTTAGTGTGCAAGAGAAAATATCACTTCTTAATTCCACCGGTTGGCGATTGGGGAAACCCAATTAATGATGACGTTCTTGTTTTGGAAAACCATCTCTTACATGGACCAATTCACTGTAATGGCTTTGGTCATTTGCTTTGCATAAAGGAATTGACGACGGTTCTACAACTGTACTCGAGAGCCAGATTATGGGTTTATGGGACCGAATTTGTATCTCTCTTTGAACCAGGTATAGTGTCATTTTATTTATGATGATTAATGTCGTATTTTTCATCAACTTTTAAGATTGGTATGATGTGTTAAAGCTTACTTCATGTCTCATTTTGTATAAAAGTAAATGTTGTTGATGTATCCATTAGGTAGAATATGGATCTTAAACTTCTTTATGGACTTGCTTATAGAGATTCTTGGTTCAAGAGATAGAATTACAAGTTTTACAAAGGATCTTTTGGGGTTAGAGAGCTTAATTACTTCATAGCAATTGATTATCTCAGCTCTCTCAAGCTTGATGAGCTTATTTTGGATTGTTCTCAACGAAATGGAGATATTGAGCAAATTCTCAGCCACTACAGAGGTATCAGTAAGAGATGATTGATGACAATTAGAGATATTTTTGGGTTTCTGCTTAATCTCAAGATGAGAATTTCGTTTGGGAGAAACACACTCACTAACTAGCCCCTTGCAAAAAAAAAAAAATCCACGGAGTGCAGAATGTTTGA